GCAGGAAGTTAGAAGTCACTCCTGCTCCCACTGTTTTTTTCCCTCCCTTGGTCATTTTGTTTCTCTGTTTAGGTAAGGAAATATCTCTGAAACAATGACCCAGCAGAGCATGGATTGTCTAGAAATGGATAAAATTATAGCCTGTGCCAGATGCAAGGCTGCCACTTGCCCCACTCCACCCCATGTTGGAACAGATGTTTAATTATATTGTACGTATTTGGGTTAATAAGTATGACATGTTTACAAATAAGTTCAGATTAATTTATTGTATGCTAGAGTTTACTGTATCCTTAGCTGCAAGTGGTATATTAAAAATAAAATTTAAAACTTTTTGTCTTAATTATTCAATTGTTACATTATGGCTTTCCATCCTTACATCCATAACGTAAATTACAAGGTTGTAATTTAGATCTTATTTTTCTCTAGCAAGAAAACAAATATTTACTGTGAGATTCAAAACCTTATATATAGTTTATTTAAGCAGGATACATATAACAACTATATGAGAAATGTCAGTGCTTTGACACACACAAATGCAGAGGGAGAGAGATAGAAAACATTCATTGTATATTATTATATTATTACTTGTACAATTTTTTCTAGAGAATTTAAGTTTTTGAGAATAATCCTGGAACCTTTAAAAAAATCTGCTCGGGTTTCAAGCCACAGTGACTGTATCATGATGTTAAAGGGGAAATTACATATAAATTATGTCATTTGCATCATATGTGTAATGTTATTCTGATGTCACTTTTCTGTGAAACCTCAGGGGTCTGCTTTTTTGTAGGCATGTCAGAAGGGTCCCAAGTAGACTATAAGGAGATTAAGAGTAGTACATCCTTCCCTCATTTTAAAAACAATCCACTGAAGCAGTGCTGATTTTACTTGGTTCCCTGATTTGGGATTAGAGTTATTAGATACATAAATAGGCACAGGACATTTTTCCAACAAATAGTTATTTATAAGAACATATCCTAGTGATAATATAGAATCAACAGTGATTACAATCAGAAAACTGTCCAGAATTGTCTTATTGATGAGACAACTGGCATATAAATTTAATACATAGGTAAATATGCCCTACTAAAATTTCACCATGGAAATAAATGATGAGTTGATAAGGGGCTAGATTGAAGCTAATTGCTGGAATCTAGAAATAAATAACATAAATCAAATTTGTCAAGTCTATCAGAGAAGAGAAAGAAGGAAGCAGACGATTTATCTATTCCAATTTCAAAGGTATGGTCTATGATTTTACTTTTAACAAACATACATAGATATGAGTCATTCCTCTTCCAGAAACAGCTGCCTAAACAGTCCAACACAACTGCACGTCCCCACAGTAAAATAAATAAATAAATTTTTAAAAGGGATATTACAGGCAGTCATATAGAACCATATTGTTTTCTCCAGAACCTATTAGATCATTTTCATGAAAGAAGTCTGACTTGATTGTGGCATTGTGATGGCATTTTTCTGTGAAATCCACTAGCCCTGGTTTTTTGCATTCCTGTCAGAACCGTTGTGACAATTCTTATGAACAATTCTTGTGGTCCAGTACCATTTAAGAAGGGGCAAGCAACTAGCAAACAATTTTTGTAGCTTTTGAGCCATTGGCCTCCCCCCCAAAATCACTCCTTCAAATGTTGCTCTAAAGTTCAGGGCTGATTTGGCATGTAGTATTATGACGGCATAGATCAGTGTTTCTCATCATGCTGGCTGGGGAATTCTGGGAGATGAAGTCTACACATCTTAAAAATGCCAAGGTTACTTGGCACTGTTACTTGGAAGGAACAGTTCCAGGTTAAGGGCTAACTGCCTGGTGATCAATGAAGTTATGACCAAAGGCTCGCTATTTTGAGCCAAGTTATCTTTGTTGTTTCCTTGAACAGGAAATGCCATTCGAACGACATGGGGGGAAACACCAAATTTACTAGTGAGATTATAGCAATTACGTTTTACTTTTGAGAACATTTAGGAAAGCTTTGTAAAGGTGAGAGGAAGGAAGGAAGGAAGGAAGGAAGGAAGGAAGGAAGGAAGGAAGGAAGGAAGGAAGGAAGGGTATGAAGAAGTAAACAAAGTTCTGAACATTACAAATAGGTAGAATTCTCCTTACCCTGCCATGACTGCCACCTTGACTTTTCTCCCCACATGCGATGAACTCTCTAGCAGGAAAGGAGGCAGACAAACTGACAAGATGCTGACATCTTTTTATCTTGGTTTTTCCTCTCTCTCTATTTGTACACTCTGCCTGTCTCACTCTAGAAAGCAATATGTTATTGTCCATAAAACCTATTCTGCTTGTGATCTAAAGGATGACAAAGGGTTCTGGGATATACTTCTTGAGCTTCCTGTTGCTTCACTGGTGCCTTAATATTTCTACTTCTGCAGTAAGACGGAAAAGCCCACTTGTTAAACTATTGGTTCTGGAAGTTGGGGGAGGGGGAATGAAGTAAATTATAGGTAAAGGAAGTAGTGGTGCAACTCTCTGACCTTATTTAGAATGCGGTATTGATGTCATTTGCTGGAATGCCATAATAGATGAAAAGCTCTTCTAAATAAGAGCTCGACCCATTTGTTTTTCCAACTTAGTTGTTGTAGAAGAACATTTGTCAGCAATAGTGTCACCCACACTCTAGATGATGGATACCTGAAGATTCTTCCTGTCAGTATAAGATTAAGCCTACAAGGCACAAACCCATGCTTATACTAATCAATTTCCGATCCTCTTCCCAACCGTTTTATACAATTCATTACAATTCATAGACAATAGAAAGATAGAAATGTCAACTCTGAAAACAGATCAGATAAATCAGACTTGTCATAGAGGCCAGAACTACACTTATTGTAAAGTTTAGTAACAATTATAGTATAGTAAAGTCAATATGCACTCCTCCCCTCCCTCCCCTTATTTATATGTGAACTAGGGAACGATTGAGGACAAAAGAAGAAGAAGGGGATGACAGAAAATGAGGTGGATGGATGGAGTCACTGAAGCAGTTTGCATGAGCCTAAATGGACTCCAGGAGATGGTAGCGGACAGGAAGGCCTGGAGGAACATTGTCCATAGGGTCGCAATGGGTTCGGCACCACTTCGCAACTAACAACAACAACGGGGATCATGATTACACAAATTATATTTTTACTCCAATGCAGGTCCCATTTTATCTGTTCATTGCCTTGATAATAGCTGTTTCTCCTATCTCTCAAAGCCAGAGGTGGTATTCAGCAGGTTCTGGCCAGTTCTGGAGAACCGGCAATGGAAATTTTGAGTAGTTCAGAGAATGGGAAAATACCACCTCTGACTGCCCCTGCCCCCATCTATTTGCTGCATTTGCTGCTGATCAGCTGGGTCTTCTTTTGTTGCCCTGCACAGGAGAACGGAGCTGGAAAGCAGGTTAGTGGGGTAGGGAGAGAATGGGGATTTTGCAGTATCCTTCCCATGTCACGCTCACCAAGCCATGCCCACAGAACTGGTAGTAAAAAAAAATTTGCATCCCACCACAGCTCAAAGCCAGTCCCTATGCCCTCTATGGATTTCATATAATAATAAAGCGGAAAGGAATCTGGACAGTCTTTTAGTACAAACTCATTCTCAAGGTTGGAATCATCAGTTCATCCCAGACAAATGGCTATCAACCTTCTTGGGAGCACTCACGGGTCCAGGAGGCAGGCTGCTCCACTGCTTAATAACTCTCTCTGCTTTGTAGCTTAATTGCACTGCAATACATTTGTCTGATCTACTTTCCCCATGCTCCTGTGGAGTAGATTGCGGTAGATTGCTAAACTTTAAGAAGAGATCAGATTTACTCAGCTGCGGACATGGTAGAAAGATCTTGGGGCAGTTATTGTTTTGTAGGCTAAAATGCCTACTTAGATGGTTTGAAGGTTAAAAAAGGAACAAATGTTTTTATATATACAGGTAGTCCTCGACTTACAGCAGTTCATTGAGTGACCATATGAAGTTACAACAGTACTGAAAAAAGTGATTTATGACTGTTTTTCAAACGTATGACTATTGCAGCATCCCCACAATCACATGGTCAAAATTCAGACACTTGCAAACTGACTCATATTTATGATGGTTGCAATGCTCTGGAGGTCATGTGATCCCCTTTTGTGACATCAGACAAGCGAAGTCAATGGGGAAGCCAGATTCGCTTAACAAACATGTTACTAACTTAACAACAGCAGCGATTCACTTAATGACTGGGGCAAACAAGGTTGTAAAATGGGGCAAAATTCACTTAACAGTTGCCTCACCTAACAACAGAAATTATGGGCTCAGTTGTGGTCATAAGTGGGGGACTACGTGTATTAAAAGTGAGTCCACTGGATTATTTTTGAACATCATATTATCTAGTGAATTTAAGGAAAGGTACGTTAAAAGTTCCAAAGCAAACAAGGGTTTATGATTGTGCAATATAGGATATTTTGATAGAGTTTAGAAAGATGCAGCTATAACCCTTTAGTAGAGCCCAATGAAAATCAGGCAGTTTATGCTAACTCAATACTCTTCCACTTGCCCTCCTTGGCAATTGGCATAGAAGTGAAATAAAGAATAGAATGCTTTTCCTACTTCTATTCCAGACAATCTTAGGTGGGATTTATGTGCGAGAGAGCCAGACCTAAGGGTATTCAATCTCGAGGCACAGGATGTGTCACGGACACTGGAACTATATTTACTAATTGTAGAATATAGGTAGGTCTATGGGAAGTCGGGAGTAGGTATCAAGGACATAAATAAAGGGAACGAAACCCCCGCTGTGTCAGACAGGATGCCTGAGTTCTTGATGAGTCAGTGTGTGACAGTGCAGTGCATGACTGGAAGCATGGAGGCAGCCGTGACTGGGAACAGGGAGAGGATGCAGACCCTGCCTTGCAAACAAGCAGAAGGACCTGCCCTCATCCTGTCCAGTTGCAAAATTTCTCGTCTCTTTCATTGGCCCCACCTCCTGGTTAGTGGCATATAAACCATACTCCCATTCCAGCTTGACACAAGCACTCTGCTATTCCTAGAGAAAACCAATAGATTTCTAAGAAGGAAAAGCAATCAACTGGACTTGACTCATCAGAGATCTCAGGTGGGTATCTCCATCCCTCTGGAAACTTTCCCTCCTTTAGACTCAAGCAATTTTTTTTCTTTTCGGATGGCATATGGACTCGCATGAAGGTTTTGTGAGCCACAGGGGCTTTTGTAGCTACAGGGGTAAAAATGCTGGTATTTTTTTCCTAAACTAAGCTATGAATATTGAAATTGCTCAAGCTGCTCATCTCTTAACAGAGATAGGTAGCCTGAGGCCCTCCTAAACAGCTTGAATATTTATTCTCATCAGTTCCTAAGGGTCAATGGCAAGAACCAGGGGGAGGTGCCATCCAAAATATCTGCAAGGTACCTAATCACCTAACCCTGAAGGAAGAAATGCCTCTGTGCTGGAGTGGAAACTCATCTGAAAATTATACTTTAACTGAAGTTGAACGGCCATACTTTTGACAACTAGGAAGGAAAGGCTATTGTTACATTTTCAGAGGCACTTCCATTGTTCCTTCTGATACTGAACGCAGTTTAATCCAGGATGCCCTATGGCTCATCTTTGTTTCATTCTTTCCAGATCAGAATCATGGATTCAAGAAGGGTTCTTCTGATGCTCATCTGGTTGACAACATCTTCATGCCAGCTCTGGAGGACATCTGGAATGACAGATAGGTAAGGAGCAAAGTCGGTATTTGATGTGATTCAAGAAGAGACCCACAAGGGAAAAGATTCCCCCGCATCAACTTTGTAAGACTGAAACTGTAAAGAAGCTTCCTTACTTTTTCTTGCAGGCGGCAACCCCCCCCTGCTGCTTCCTTTCTGGAACAACTCCTGAAGATTGGTGGGAGAGTAGATGGTAGAGCCACTCGGGAATCTGATCTGGGATTAGAGGAAAGACCCTCCACATGGGCACAATTGGCGCAAGAAAGAGATCAACTGAACTTGCTTAGAAGGTAAGTGTATTGAACTATATTTGCACAATAGGATTACCCATGACTAAGCTGACCATAGTGCATAGTCTGTAGCAAATCGATGAATTATACAAATTTTGTTTTATAAAACTATGTGGGTTTACATATTGTGATAATATATGGAACCAATACAGAAGAAGATAAACTTAGAATTTAATGCGATGTAGGGATCCAGCTATTTTGTTAGTTTGGCCTGCTATTAGAGATTGTGTGACAACTCTCTTATTTTTTTTAATATGAGTATCTTTTTAATATGAATATCATTTTAAAAAATAGAATCAGAGAACCTGGCATTCTCTAAAAGCATTGATACATATAACATGATTTGAAGCTGATGGGAATCCTCTTGACTTCTGGAGGACTTTCCTAGAAGTCTTCCATCTTTTTCCCCATCCTATCTCCTCCATGTGTGTGTAAATAATTAATTAGGGACTCTTAATAACTTTAACTAAATGCCTTTTCATGCACCTGCTAGAGGCATTCACACAGATCCTGATCGGAAACTGCAAGTGAGCCTACAATAGAAAATAACAAGCTACATGTTTGAATAAGGTTGCTGTTATAGTTGCAGTAACTTAACTACTTGCTTTAGCTACCAGGTGGTTTAGATCAGAGGTCTCATTCTTGCGGCCCGCGGGCCAATTGCGGCCCGCAGGACGATATCCTATGGCCCCCACCGTGATATGAAAGTATAACATTTGAGGATATTTTTTTAGCAACATTTTTTGTGGAATCTCTTATGCGGCCCAGCCTCACCCAGACTCTGCCTCCAGCGGCCCCCAGGTAAATTGAGTTTGAGACCCCTGGTTTAGATATTTTCCAAACTAAAACTCTATGGGTATGTTAAAATATAAAGGGAATTATACCCATTCTTATTTAAAATGATGGAGGCTGAAGTTTGGAGTGACCTGACTTACTAAACCATCTTCTTGGCTATCTCCCCCTCCAAAATCGGATCTGGGGATGCATAGGCCAATAACTGGCTTGAAAGAAAAACTGCTCCTAGCTTTATGACAATGTGATTTCAAACCTTAATCACATCCAACCCCAAATTTAAGAACATGAATAATTAGTTGTTGTTTCTTCGCATTTTAAAGGCTTTCATTGTGTGGGGGGCTTTGGGTTCAGTCTAGCACCCTGCTTGAGACTCCAGCATTTTCTTATTCTCTTTCTTCCAGCAGCTCTGTCCCCGGACACCGTGTGCCCCGACAGCTACTAGCTTCAGGTCCTGCCCGTGGATGCCATCTTGGCACTTGCCAGCTCCAGAACCTGGCCAATCTACTTTACCGTTATGGGGGCAATAACCAAAAAGAAGAATCCCACAAAAACAACAAGGGAACAAATGATCCCATGGGCTATGGGCGTAGGAAACGCAGGGCAGCCGGCCATGGAGTATCCAGTCCCACTTAAAAGACGTTCTGAGAGAAAGATGGGCACTCACATGAATCAGGTTCTGGACACCTGCAAAGTTCAGAGAAACAGGCTGGATGATCCCAGCGCTCAGAGGCCATGCTACAAAACAGCAGCGGACATTCTGGGTGAATATGACCATCATCTAAGATGTAGGATGGTAACTTTCTTCTGCCTTTTAACCTCCATCTCAGTTTAGATTTGGTTCCTTGTGTCTTCCTGAAATTTAAAAAGCAGGCAGTCTTCAGAGAGACTGCCCCTTTCTGATCTGGCCTGAGCTGTTCTGGTAGAGTGGAGTTACATCATCAGATCCCATCAAGAGCCCGTTGGGGCATAGAATTCACATGAATATGCTCCAATAAGCCACAGAGGCAGGTAGAAAAGGGGTCTGAAATCTCCAGAAAGATACTGAAACAGCATGACTTGTTTCTGGAAAGGAGAAATTGATATTACCGCCATGTTAGCACTGTGGACAGGGGAGGGGGTTAAATCAAACAATTCCTCTGGGGCATTTCTGTCTTGTTGGATTCTGTGTTTCATCTGTGCATAATGGATTTGTTTTTAGAGGAGCTTGTAAGTAAACAGACTGATCAATCTGGAGTTGTAAATGGTGTTTTTGTGCTACCTCCATACTGTATAGCTGAAAAGAATGGTTGAGAATGGTTGTTTTAGCCCTTCTCTGGCTTTAGCTAAAAGCCCCATTTCTCCTATAGCATAATTTTATTATAAATCTATTAGCACTACCTGGTTACCCCCTCCTGGAAGCAATTTAACTTTGGGTATCATGCTCAGGCTGGAAATGCAACAGAACCTCCAGAATGGAAATAAAGGAATATTGAATGAATGAATTTCTGCAAAGTAGCAATGACCTCTACAAACCTTAGTTGCTTTTCTTCTGAACAAATGCAAAACGAGATGACCTTGTTAGGTTGCACACACTCAAAATCTTGGCATTCAAATAAATTGAGCAGTGGACACTTCACTAATCCTCATGCAATTCACTAACATCTGGAGACACATAATACTTTAAAATAACTTTCTAGAGTCCACTTTTTAAAAAATCAATCAAGTGTTAATCCATCAGTTGAAATTAATCCTGAAAAGATACTTTCCATCATTTTTATTAGGTAACAAAACTATCTATCTATCTAAAATTTATTGTAAGGTAACAATATATATGTATTTACACACACACATACACACACACTCACACACATTCATACATAGTTTTGTTCCCTTACAATAAATTGTATTGTATTGTATTGTATTACTATTTTATATTGTAATATATAAATTTATTGTAAGGCTACATAAAAACTTCCAAGTATGAAGATTTCTGTTGCTACTTTTAATTGTTGGAAAAATGAGAGCAGACTCATCCTAAGTGTCTCTCTCTGACTTTAAACTACTGGGGCTTCTGCCTCTCATCTGATTATTTCCTAGGCCTTTTCTCCTCATTCCCCAAGGCCACCCACACATTCCATTACAGATCCTCAGCCTTAGGATGAACCGTAATCTGAGTGAACGTCTATGGAGATTCTCAGTCATCCATGTCATGGTTGTCCCAAAGGTGCTTTTTCAAGAGACAGCCGGACTTTAAAAAAAACTCAGAAAGTCCAGTTGCCTCTTGAAAAAGCACCTTTGGGACAACCTGGGTGAATGCACCATGCACGACATAACAAAGAATGTCAATAAAATTCACCGTGTCATGAACATTCCTATTTCTTTGTCTGCCATGATATGTGCATTAGAAATTCAACTGTAAAAAAGAGGAAAAAGTGTTTTCACTGTGTATAAGTTTCTGGAAAGTATACAGAGAAGAGCAACAATGATGATTATGGGGGCTAAAATAGATAAAAAACAGTTGCAGGAATTAGATATATGTTGCCTAGAAAAAAAGAAGGACTAGGGGCGACATGTTAAAAGTGTTCCAATATTTGAGAGGCTGCCACAAAGAAGAAGCAATCAACTTATTTAGAGCCACAGTGGCACAGTGGTTAAAGTGCAGTACCTCAGGCTACTTCTGCTGACTGCCAGCTGCCTGCAATTTGGCAGATTGAATCTCACCAGGCTCAAGGTTGACTCAGCCTTCCATCCTTCAACGTCAGTAAAATGATGACCCCCAGATTGTTGAGGGCAATATGCTGACTCTATAAACCGCTTAGAGAGGGCTGTAAAAGCGCTATGAAGCAGTATATAAGACTAAGTGCTATTGGTATTTTCCAAAGCACCAGAAGGCAAGACAAGAAGTAAAGGGTGGAAATGAACCAAGGAGAGAAGCGACCTAGAACTAAGGAGAAATTTCTTGAGAGTGAGAACAATTAATCAGTGGAACAGCTTGCCTTTGAAAGTTGGAGGCTTTTAAGAAAAGACTGGACACCTACGGGACTTGTCTGAAATGGTATAGGATAGAGTTTCCTGCTTGAGCAGGGGTTTAGATTTCCAGTGCTGAAGTTCTATGTTCTATGGAACAAAGAAGAAAACAACTTTGAATAATTCAGTGGTTAAAATCTATGAACACGTCTCAATATATTTGACAGCATAACCCACAATGACTTTCCCTCCCTCACTGGTTCAGCATCTCTAATTTATGAAAGTGTGCTTCATGTGAGGATTTCAGGGAACATCACTTTAGCAAAAAGAAAAGAAGCCTATATATACAGAATGTTTTGAATTTGAAAGATTATTCAAAATATAATGCAGCAGTTTGCAAGGTATTATATAGCATAGCCTGAAAAATCCCTTAGAGTTTGTGCAGACTCATGAAATATGGGCAGACTACTATTTGCCAGTTGTTGAAACTGGGGAGGTATGACAAACCCCAGCCATTTGGGAAAAAACTGTCCCAGAATTACAGGATATTCACTTCCACCACCATAAATGTAACCTCTTTAAATATAAAGAAGCAAGTGAACTACAGAGAGTAGCTTCAAGTTGTCACTCTAACAATGAATTTAAAGCCTCCACATGAAACTATGTCTATTATAACCTGAAAAATGTTCTAATAAAAGGGAGAAGCAACTTCATATTGTTCCTCTCCCCATACACACAGCAGCCTGAAAAAGTTATTCAAATGGCATGATGTAGCTATTGCCTACAAAGATCAAAACCATGGTAAGCCATGGTATTCTGTCATAGTCTCTGTGGCAGGGGTCTCCAACCTTGGCCACTTTAAGCTTGGAGGACTTCAACTCCCAGAATTCCCCAGCCAGCTTTGCTGGAGACCCCTGCTCTGTGGCACATTACAGGAATGAAAGTTGGATTTTGAAGAAGCAAGATAGGGAAGGGTATTAACACTTTGATGTTGGGGAAGACTCCTGAGAATACTTGGGCAGCCAAGAAAATAAATAAGTCATTGAACATATCATTGAACATATCAACCCAGAGTTCTCAGTCGCGGCACAAATGATCAGCCTTAAATTATTCTACTTCGGACACCTTTATATAAAGATCTTATTTCCTGGAGAAGGCTCTGACACTGCGGAAAATGGAAGAAAAGAGAACAGGGTAACCCAGTTACAGTGGATATTAGTGCATCGTTGCGAGACTAAAAAAAAACAGGTTAGAGATAGGTCGTCACGAAGAAAATAATTCAATGTGGTTGCTAGGCATCAAACGACTTGATGGCACGCAATAAATCAACCGATCAATCGGCCACTTCATGCATACAGAAAGTTGGAAATCCAGGGACTGGCTTTGACCGAGAGCAATGCAACAATTAGACATCACACCGCGTCGCTGAAGAAATCCGGGAATCCAGCTGTTCATTTCCAAGCGCCATCGAATCTGCTCCGGGCGGTCTCCAAAGCCAGTCGCAGCAGTATAAATTATGCAGGCAAACCGCTCGCCGCCCTGCGAGTAATAAAACGGCGCGGGGGATTTCGGGAGAATTATTGGACCTCCGGAGTCGGCATGGGAAGCCGGGAGATGCTGCTGAAGGCCGAAGACCGAGCAAGGGGCGACGAGTTGAAGGACGCAGGCTGACGCGGGGGTAGAGAAACGTACAGGGTGGGCGGGAGAGAGAACCAGGGAAAGAGAGACCGGTGCAAAGACAGGCGAAGGAAACGCGGGAAAGAAAGGATGGAGAAGAGTAGGAAGAGGAGGACCAAGAAGAAGGGACCCCAGAGGGCGGGCTGGCAGTGACGGAGGCGGTCCCGAGGTTTGGGCATGGCTGGATCCAGAAGTGAGTCAGGTTGCCCTGAAGTGGAGGTCGCCCCCAAGTCGGCAAGGTGAGAATTGTCCAAGTTGCCTGAGCTCTTCCGGGGAGGGGGTCTGCTCCATAGGGCCTAGGATATGTGAACGTGGGAAAGAGGACCCAAGGACAAAGGCATGTGCGGGGGGGGGGGGGGGGGGCGTTCTGGATCCCGGAGAAAAAGGGCTGAGCGAAGAGCCGAGGATACTGCGCTCCACAAAAAGACCTGGATGTATTTTATCTACAGTAAGAGGGAGGGAAGGATGCTGGGCGGTGGGATGGGGGAAATCTCATGGATTAGGGATCATGAGAGTCTGGCTTTCTGAATTTTTAAAAAAGATGAGGGGACCCTATTGAGAGCAGGTGGATGACGTGTCTTCTGGCCGACCTGAGAGCAAGATGCTTTGTCTTGTGGTCCAAAGATAACACTGTTCTGACTATTGTCCAGGATTTGCATGGCTACAGCACGCAAAGGCTATAGCTGCTTGGTCACTTTAGAGCAGGACAATAGCTTCTTGGTGAGTTTAGAGACAAATGGTGGGGGTGCTGCTTCTTCAAGGCTTAATTACATTAAGTACTAATTGTAGGCAGGCCTGGGTCACTGCTGAGGAAGATGGAAGGGAGGAAGACAGAGACAGGGAAGAGGAAGGCACTAAGCAGTTCTATGAAGATGTTAATTTTTGATATTATGTTTCTTAGATTACTGCTTATCTTGTTAGCATATTGTGGGAGGGAATAGAAGATGAATATAGCAACTTTTCCTATACCACTTCTCCACAATCATATTTCATTCTGTGGTTTTCTATTTCAAATAAGTTTTAGATATCTACTCTCAGCAAATCCCCAGAGCGAATGATATGACTGGGGGCACATAATGAAACCACTTGCAGAAATTAAATTGACTTGGGTCTGTTCAATGGATGGGAAATATTAGGAATATTTGAAGATGAGATGATCATCATAAATTTGCTTCCTGGCTCATTGAAGGATTTTTATACAGAATAATCCAGACACTTCATCTTTTGTAATCACTCCTATTTTTTACTGCTTTGCTTTCATATATAGTCGGAGCCAGTTTTGTATAGCACTGAACGTGCTGGCTTAGAAACTAAAAGTTCTAGGCCTCTCTTAGGCACGAAAGCCAGCTGGATAACTTTGGGTCAGTCATTCTCTCTCATTTCCAACCTACTTCACAAGTTGATTTTTGTGGGGAAAATAGGAGGTAGGAGTATTAGTACATTCATTGCTCTGAGATGTATATAAAAATGTAGGATAAAAGTATCATAATCCTCACCCTCACCCTCCTCATTATCTCCTCAGACAAAAAGTGCGTGTAGAGAGATGGAAAAGAAAAAGTAGCTATACAATGTCTTTTAGCAATGGAGTTAAGCAACATCGGTTTGGAAACATAGTTGGGAATCCCATATTTGTCTGAGAAATCTAGAATGAGAGAGTTATAAATCTAATGCATATATGTAATTAACATTTGCCTGCAGTAATGGTGATCTTCGTTCCTTACAACACATGTTTTAACTATTTGGATTTTGTGAAAATAAGAAAGTTGGGCTGTACACTAGATTATATCTTTTTGTTCTATATCAAATAACATACCTTTGTGTATACAGTACCTCAGTAAAAGTTACGAACCCATAAAATATTGTCTGGTTTATCTGATTTTAACAACTTTTCTGGTACATCATTGAAAAGTAGAACCCCAAGTTTTCTTATGC